TTTTTTGTAGATGGATACAACACAATGCTTTTATTTTTATGTGGTGCTGAGAATCGAACCCGGGTCCCGCCTGTGCCCCAGACAACTATTTTTAAAATCAAAACTTGTTTCTTATAAGAATGTTTGTAAGCATTAAAATATAAATTATAACAGCAATGTCATTAAATATTTGTGTGAACATTTAAAAAATATATTTTTGTTATAAGGAGATAAAATTTAGGTATTCTGTTTATACAATTGCAGTTTTCAATTTTAGAACAATCTAAATACCCAGTAACAGCTATAACTAATCAGCAATGCAAAGTCTTTAATATATTGTCTTTTTAAATGATATATATTCCACAGTGTATTTTATATTTTGTTTAATCATTATGTAAGCCATTATTAATGAGTAGCCTCAGCCTGAACTTAAAGAGTCACTAAAAAAATCTTTTTCCTATTATATAACCTTGATTGATTTGATAAAACTGCTTTTTTCTTTTATGAGTAACAAACCTAGTCATCATCAGAACAAAACTTCTCATCTGGAAGGTTTGGAAGCATTAACTATTTCATCCACATAATTTAAGAATTCTAGCTGGTTATATATTTGACTGGTTATATATTTGAATTCATTATATTTATTCTAAGCCTGAGGCATTTCATGAAGCAGCAAATCCAAGTACAAAAGGTTAAAAATGAACAAACAAAATATCTTTCCCTTTTAAAACTTCTATGGTTTATATCTGTCACATTATTTATTTGGCATGATCATTTATTACTGGTACACACATATATTTTTCTACCCCAAAATATTATTAAGCAGTTTATAAAGGGAGGAGTGCTTTGTGTTCTTCACTCAATGACCCAATTAGTATCATTTAATTACCCAAATGAATGAATTGACAGGTTTCTGTAGAGATTGTTTCATTAATATCCCAGCATGGACATCATGACTATCAGATTGTTCTTTAGTCCCTAAGTTTAGAGTCCTGTCTATATTAGTTAGATCAGGCTACCATAACAAAAATACCATGGACTGCTTGGCCTAAGCAAGGGAAATTTATTTTCTTATAGTTCTGGAGGCAAGAAGTCCCAGATTTCTGGTAAGGGCTTTTTTCTTGGCTTGTGGAAGGCTACTTTGCCATCACATGGCCTTTCCTCTGAGACAGCTTGGAGAGAGTCTAGGTTCCCCTACCTGCTTCCTTTAGATACTGAAACCAGTATTACAGCACCTTCATAGCTGAAGAAAGGCCAGATTCCAGTTTAATATGCCCAGCTGTCCAGATGTGGTGACATTTTTAGCTTGATCTGATAAGATGATCATGATCTTGATATAGCATAAATGTGTGAGCCATTTCATGTGTAATTTTTTATAGACAGCTTGGTTCCTCATCGACGTCTCTTCTTGGAGTTGTGCCTGATTTTATTACCAGTTTTTATCAGAATTCATTGGGGGATGATTTTGCTTTTGTTTCTTGACCAAGAATTGCTTGTTGCTGAAAGTCTTGTTAGAATACATGGTGAGGAACAGAATCAAGTACATGCATTGCAAAATGGTTTCTCTTCCTATAAGGGCATTAATCCCATTAGTGTAGGGTTCTACTCATATGACCTCATTTAACCTTAATTGGCCCTTCTCCAAATATAACCACACTGGGGATTAGGGTATGAATTTGGGTTGGGAGGATATAAACATTCAGCCCACAACATTCAGTTTTCTGGAAATTTATGATATGTTAAAGGAAATTTGGATTGTTCCTAGAGACATTTATAAATTCCAAGAGAGAGGGAAGGAATAAATGCTAACTAAATGAATTAATAAAATAAACAATGATCTGCTATCCTTTTAACTCTGACTAGAAACCATTTCGAGAATACTGTATGCTTTGTTTTGGTTTCATTTGGTGGAAGGATACATAACCTGAAATGGATTGACTGGATATTGGAGCCCTTAGCTCTTTGTAGAAGAGAATAAAATGAGAACAAGAAAAATTTCCCTAATTAGTCATTCTTTCAACATGTACTATTCATTTACTATACTGTGGCTGAGCAGATGAACATGTCATTGAGGTCCTTGTCCTCAGGGTTATTATTATTTCCTCTCTTAGGTTTATTTCTCATCTTGGGGTTGTGAAGATGAATTGTGGGGGGGAAAGCATGTAGGCAAAAGAGTAGCTAAGACAATATTGAAAGAGAAGAACAAATTGGAGGACTGATACCACACCATCTCAGGATTTATATACAGCTATGGTAGTCAAGTGTGATATTGGTGAAAGAATAGACAAATGAAAAATGGGACAGAATACATAAGGCCAGAAATAAATAGTCAGCTGATCTTTGACAAAGGGGTTAAAGCAATACAATGGAGAAGAAAAATAGTCTTTGAAATAAACGTTGCCAGAAAAATTAGACAACCACATGCTAAAAAATGAATCTAGACACAGACCTTATAGCCTTCACAAAATTAAATCAAAATGGATCATATGACTTAATGTAAAATTCAAGACTATAAAATTCCTAGAAGATAACAGAAGAAAATCTAGATGACCTTGGGTTTGGTGATGACTTCTTATATAACACCAAAAGCACAATCCATGAAAGAAAGAATTCATAATTTAGACTTTATTAAAATTAAAAATTTCTGTTCTATGAAAGACACTGTAAAGAGAATAAAAAGAGCCGGCACAGTGGCACATGCCTGTAATCACAGTGGCTCAAGAAGCTGAGGCAGGAGGATTGTGAGTTCAAAGCCAGCCTTAGCAACTTAGTGGGGCCCTAAGCAACTTGGTGAGACCTTGTCTCTAAATACAAAAAAGGGCTGGGAATGTGGCTCAGTGGTGGATTGCCCCTGGGTTCAACCCCCAATACAAACAAACAAACAAATGAATAAAAAGATATTTCATAAACTGGAGAATATATTTACAAAAGACATATCTGATACAAGACTATTATCCACAATATACAACAGATTCTTAAAACTCAACAAGAAAAATAAAACCAACCTGTTTTTAAAAGTGGATCAAAGACCCTAACAGACACCTCACCAAAAAAGATATGCAGATGGCAAATAAACATACAAATAGATTGTCTATGTCTTATCAATCAGAGAAGTACAAATTAAAATAATAATGAGATATCCTACATACCTATTAGAAAAACTAAAATCCAGAACACTGACAACATCAGATGCTGGCAACAATGTGGAGATGTGGAGCAAAGCATTGGTTGCTGGTGGGAATGAAAAACAGGCAACACTGTGAGAGACAATTTGGCAGTTTCATATAGGGTTATACGTACTCTTACCCTGTGGTCTAGAAATTATGCCACTTGGTATTTATCCAAAGGATTTGGAAACTATGTCCATATAAAAACCTGCACATAGATGTTTTTAACAATATTATTCATAATTGCCAAAACTCATAACAACCAAGCTATCCTTTAGAAAGTGATACAAAAATAAAACAAATAAAAAAATAACAAATATTAGTGCTAAAAAGAAATGAGTTATCAAGCCATGAAAAGACATGGAGGAAACTTAGATGCACATCACAAAATGAAAGAAGTCACTCTGAAAAAGCTACATATGGATGACATTCAGGAAAAGGGAAAACTATGGAGACAGTAAAAATAAAGGGGAAGGGAGGGATAGATAGGGGAGCGCTGGATTTTTAGGGTGGTAAAACTGCTTTCTATAATAATGTTGAATACATAAATGGTGGATTTGGGGTGATAATGATGTGTCAATATTGGCTCATCATTTGTAAAAAATGGTACCAGTCTGGTGGTGGATGTTGATGGGGGGTGATGCTGTGCATATGTGGGGGCAGAAGGTATGTGGGAAATCTGTATTTTCAATTTTGCTGTAAACCTAAAACTGCTCTAAAATCCAGTGTATAAAAAATGCATACAAAGAGCTTTGATCAATGTCTGGCACATAGAAAGCAATAATTTTAACCATATATTTATTATTAACAGACGCATTGGAAACACTTAGCACAAGGCAAGTTTTAGGAATTGCTTACTAATTAATTGAGGTTTCCAGCTGACTTTGAAGATGTTGTTTTATTTTATGATTTTTACAGTGCCACCTCTTTGTTTAATATCTGGACCAAATACGCCCCCCGGCTGCCAGATGACTATTACAACGAAAAGCTTCTGAAGGTTGGAGATAGCCTTTGTCAAATGAAAGTAAGTGCCGCTGGAGGAAAAAGAGCCCAGATGAAACTTATTTGGCTAATTATTACTTGATATAATACCATTCCTATTATACATGATTTTTTTTTCCTTAGGGGAAAAAATATGTGAATACATGAAGATTTTAGTGAGGCCCAGAACAACAACAACAACAACAACAAAAATGTGTTTGCTTTTTAATTGTGTAGTTAAAATTCTCCAGGGACAAGAGGTTCCTGAAAGGACAGGAGCCTGGCTGGGGATGGGAAGGAGCTTAGCTGGTCTAACAGAGGGTGTGGTAGGTGCACAACAGGAAGTGCTGAGTCATCATGTTCCACCTTATACAAAGGAGCCCAGACACCACTTCCTGTTGTTTTTCCACATACTGGCCTTGCCCAGGGGACAGCCTTCATAGCTACTGGCCTTGCTGTTATGTTGCCCAGTGTCCTGTTTAAATGACTGAGCATTTGGATGTTTTGCTGTATGTGATTATAGCTGTCATTCCATACATGCCCTATTTTCTGCTCAGTATTTTATTCCAAACTGAGTTTGTGCCCTATTTTTAGTTTCATATGAATGCCTGAATCTTGGAATGCTGTGGACCTGTGGACTTGATTTGATAGGACCATGTTGTGGCTGGGTTCTTAGTTAATCATAATGTGAATTTTCTCCTTAAGCTCTGGCATAGGTCCAGATTATTCTAAATTATATGAAGAGTTAGACTAAGAGTTATTTTATCTAGAAGGGGCCCAATATGGACAGTTCAGTTTTCTCAATCTTTGGTTTGTCAACTTAACTTTCTTCCTCCATTTATATTTTCATAACTTCAATCCTTTTGGTCTGGGAGGCAAATTCACCAACACAGGATAAGATGTGGAAGAACTTTCCTAATAAAGAACTAATATCTGTTTTCCTCTGCCTAAATCAGAGATAATCTTAGTCCCATGTTAATGGACCATGGTCTTAGAAACTTGCAAATACAGGGTTTGGAAAACTATAAAACAAGCAAACAACAACAAACCCATCTAGGTAAGATTCTATTTGTAAACTATATTCATGTGAAGTGAAATAACAGTTTTGATAAGAATTAGAAGGGAGTCCACCTCCATCTTCACAGCTGAATTTCTCAGAAGCTGTGATATGTAGCATAGTTGGGGTTGTTTAAGGGGTGTAAAGGAAGGTGGAGAGGGTATTTGTGGAGAGATGAGGAAGATGCATATCAGAAGTTGATAAAGCAAGTTGGTTAGGGTTGAAAGAAGCTAAGGATTCAATGTCTCTGACAGAAAGGCCTAGAGAAGAGAAGGCATTGTTAAATAAAAGGAACAAAGAAAATGTTTTATCTACTTTTCACTGATGGGAGAGTTGGCCACTGAAGGTCTTTATAATCCTGAAAATGAACTTGAATTGTATAGATTATTTTAATTTTACTAAAGATCATCTTGTGGAATACTCTTATTTTAAATGTATTTGAATTTACTATCTGAATAAAGTTAGAATGGGAAAGATTCAGAATTAGGGAGCAAATAACAACCAAATTCACAGGAATATAAACAGAACAGTGTTTGGCCATGGATGCCTCCCAAGGGGTTAGGTAGATGGACAGGCAGTTCACATCCAGGGCAGTTGCTTTTCCCAAGGCACAGAAGCAGGCGACGAAACTGAGGAAGGACCATAACAGATTCGTCCTTAGAGCACTGCTCACCTTCCCTGCTAGGAACTCCCAGGACATTTCTGCTCCATGGGTGACAGAAAGGAAGCATGTCTGTCCTGATGCAGCATTCACCCCTCCCTCTCTCCAGCTTTACTAGGATGTTAAGGCTTCTTATCTCCTTCTCAGTGTGTGTGCGTTACTACTGTCTGGTGATACTGGATTTCGAGTGTATGGAGATTTTACCATACACAAAGTAAGTATTCTCATCTCTGTGATCTTGACGGTCCCATGTCACAGTTGGCTTGTTAGCAGAATTAAATGAGATAATAACATACAAATGGCACAGTGCAGTGCTTGGGCGATGGTGATGGTAGTAAAAGTAGTGATAGTGATAATTAACATTTATACTCTTAAGAATAATATGAATGTTAATCTTAAAATGATATTTTTGAACTTTAATCAAGTCCTCTTTTTTGCTTTAGGAATACAAACTGGCTCTTTGGCAGTGCTATGGAAGATATCTTCAGCAGTTTTGTACCAATTTTGATGAGGATAAAGCAGATGCGAGACAATTCAAAACTGTCTTTTTTCCAAAAGGCTTTGGAGATAAAACTGCTGCACTTACAGTAAGATGAAAGAAATAGCTAAAATATTCACATTTTATGATTAATTTTGTAATTATTAGTTTAGTTGGCAGCCTCTAATTTCATTTCGCTTAGTATGGCAACTGGCCATGTGCTATAAGGTGCTTAATAAATGCTTTCCAGGTTGGATGAGAAAGTGAACTCATTAAACTTTGTTAATGATACATTAGAGATTGTGTCAGTATAATCATTCATTCATCTACCAGACACTTATTGTTTTTATAACTCTATTTGTAGAGTACTTTTAGTTAACAAAGTGTCTTGGGAAACATACTTGATCCTTACAATAACTTTATGAGTTAGATATTGTTATTACCCTATTTTACAGAAGAGAAAAATAAAGCCTATCACATAGTTAGTATAAAAAAGTGGCTCTTGAACTCAAATGTAGATCTTTTGATATATAGTTGTATACTTTATTTTTATTATACCAATATTATTATGTTAACTGCTATTATTAATCTACCAGTTGAGCAATTACGGTGTGCTAGGTATTGTAAATGCATGTATGTGTCAATTACCATCTTGCAGTCTCATTACAATACTAAAAGGTAGAACTATTGGGCATTAAAAAAATTTTTTTTGCAGATGAAGAAACTTATTAGAAATTTAGAAAGTTTATCAGAGATTAAGAAGCCAGCCAAACCCACTCAAAGCAATGGGCAAGTTTGGTGTTTGATCAAGTCTGATTCCAAATCTATGGTATTCCAAATTTGATGACTATTTAAAACCTTAAAAATAGGGTGTGGCTGACTAATAACAAGTTCTTAAGGTGTGTTGGGGAACCACTGAATTGTTCCATTTGGCTGTACAGTAGGGCATACATATGAGAGTACTGGGCAATGTAGGGTAGCACCCCTTTGGGAGGAGAACTGAAAGCAAAAGTCTCCCCTAGCCTCCCCGTATATGTAGCTCTCACTCCCTCTCTCTGCAATTCATTTTCACACTTGTCAGAATTAATTTCTAAAGGATAAATGGAATCACTTTATTTCACTGCTTTTGACTTTGCCCTTGGGCTAAAGTCCAAATTCTTTGGAATGACATAGAACTCACCACCCCCATAGTCTCATCTCTTTTCATAAATCTTTTTATCAAAACTCACAAAAGACATTGAATTCAGTGATCATAGTAGTTTCTTTAAGCATCCCTAATGCTGTGTGTGCCTGAAACACTTTTCCTCTGCCTAGAGCAGGGGCTCTTCTTTCTCCTCTTGAGTCCCTCTTGTAGCAGAGTGTGGTAAACAAGCGCACAATCAACATTTGCTGGATGGATCGTGTGAATGGTGACAATCATGTCTGCATTGATAGGTTATATATCAATATATCATATATAGGTTATGCATTGGGTGAGTTTACAGAAATTGATTTGATTCTATTTTTTAAAAATTTTTTTAGTTGTAGATGGACACAATATATTTATTCATTTATTTTATGTGATACTGAGGATGGAATCCAGTGGCTCACCTGTGTGAGGCGAGTGCTCTATCACTGAGTTATAGCGCCGGCCCTAATTCCATATTCTTGATAATAAATATTTTGTGCTTTTTCCCTTTTGACTTGACTAAGGAAAGCTTAAGTAAATGGAGGTTTTAAAGGAATTTATATTTGTATACTAATATATTAAACTAATTAAGCCTAATTGTTTCTGTATTAGTTTTTTTTATATTTTGAGAAATGCTTTCCTGGGTTGTGTGAACCTTATTCATATTCTTATTTATATTTTTCCATATATTTCAGTTTCATGCTTTGAGTGCCAAAAATATTTGCAATTACCAGCTGCTCTGTGATGCTGATGTCAACCTGCAGAATAAAGAATCTGTGAGCCAGTGTCTGTCTATCTTGTTCTCCTTAAGGCTCATCATGGAGGTAGCTCTCCCACAAGAGCACCTTTGTTGGATTATCTTCAATGGTATGTGCCAATCTGTTTTATTTTCCATTGATTCTCTCAGAAAGCTATTTAAATGCCAGGTTTGATAATAACTTATCGCCTTGTGATTTAAAACATGCATTTCATGATATGATGGTGGTAGGTTTTTAAAATCATTTGTATTACATTTAGTCTATCCTCATAAATAGGGACTTTTAATACATGATTTTAGGTTTCCCACTGAAGGAAGGGTCAGAGACTGAGGGGATAATCAGTTTTGTGTATATCAAAAGCAGGGACCACAGTTAATAAATAGGCAAGTGTAAGATCTTAGAGGAGAGATCAAGTGGTTACAGCAGGTTTGAGTGATTGTAACCATCATCCTTTATTGGTCTTCTGCTCAGACCTTGGCTAGTAGCTTTGGCTTTCTGTGAAGCAACTTCTCCCCCTAATTGTTTGTTAGTGAGGAGCTCTGAGACCCCCCCACAAATATGTATATTACATTTGTGTGTAAAGAAGTGAATCTTAGCTATAAAAAAGTAACATTTGTTTTTCTCTAAAGTTACATTGGGTCACTTACTTTATATTGTTCTCTGAATTGTGTGTGTGTGTGTGTGTGTTGTTGGATAATGTATTATTGAATGAAAAATAACAGTGACAGCGTGTTTGATGTGTGTAAGACCAGGGCAAAATAACTCTGAAGAAAATATATTGGATTTTCCCTCATCCCATGGCAACTGAAAGTATATCTCATAGCCTCTGCCTTCCTCACCCATTCCAAATAATGTTTTGACATTTTGATTGAAATTAAACTTCACATTTGCTCCCAGAGATGAGGCCAACTTGGATCAGATTTTTTTTGGCCCAGTTTTTGTGCCTAATCATCCTCAAGAGGATCAATGGTTCTCTTGTTTGCCGCTGTCATCTCTCTACCCAAATTACTCAGATCTTGGCAAGGACCAAGGGGCAGGAGCAGCGATCCAGCGCTCAAAAGGTGGTGAGAAGCCCTATCATTGGCCTGCTGGAGAGGTAGGCAGCATGAATCCCTATCTTTAGTCCTTTTAAGATCAGATCAGACACAAGTAAACAAATCCCTGAAAGCCTTTTACTAGAAGATTAAATGATTTCTGTATCTTCTATATTCTTTCCTTAGTGTGATTTTTATTTACACATGTGGTATTGTGGCCTAGACTATTCTGTTTCCTCAGTTTTGCCCAGTATGGTTTTAGAATCTATCCAGATTCCTACATGTAAATCTAATTTGTGAATTCTCCCTGTTGAATTGTATTCCAGGTATTCATACACCCCTCGGGATGGGCACCTGGTTTGCCCTACCACAAATAATTCTGAATGAATACCTTGCACTTGTCCTTTTATAGACCCATGTGAAGAGTCTTTTGGGATCTATGCCCATGAGTGTGATTGCTGGGTTTTGGGAGATAGACATACTGTTTTTATTTGTACTCACTACTGTCCCTGTTTTAATGTATTCATCTGAAATTTACTGAGTACCTCCCATAAACCAGGCATTGTCCTATGTGCTGGGGACACAGGAGGGGACAACAGATGAAAGCTCCATTCCTATGCTTGCTTCTACTGCAGGGAAATGATAAATCAAAACTAAATAGTGTTAGATGGTGATCGTACTATAGAGAAAAATAAAGGTAAGATAGAGGTGACTGGGGGCTGGGCTACAATTTTAAATAGCATGGTCAGGGGAGGTCTCCCCAGGTAATAGTTGAAGGCCTGAAGGAATTTGGGGAGTAAATTACTTGATATTTGGGGAAAGGCTATTCCAACTAGGGGATTAGCAAGTGCATAGACCTTAAAGTTTTGACAATTTAGAATTCAAGTAGTCAAAAATATGTTTAACTGAAAAGGTCAGACACATTTTGATAACCTTTATACTGAGACAAGTTACTCCATTTACTTCTAATCAGCTATTATATATACATAGCCTTGATTTCTTAAGATATTTAACTAATCCTGATTGTTTATGAAATTTGAGGAAGGGTACGAATATTGGATAGTATCTTACTTTTCAATTAACCTGAATCCAACTAATTTAGACTCAGATTATTTTCATGGTGACCATTTTTGGTGAAAAGGAGTCACAGGATCAGGCAATAACTCATTTTAGGGATTTGGTGCAAAATAAAACAGAACAAAACAAAACCAACTTCCAGAGATACCCTGAGATCATAAAGTTTGGTCTCTTTTCTATGCTATACCACTTATTCCTTTGGCTTCTGAAGTGAGAATTTGCGAGCAAGGCCAAGATCCTGAATTATTAAAGAAGGACTCAGTTATAGTTAGCAGCCATGAGGCTGGGGATACAGAGGGCCCTTGTCATTCTTGGAGGGCAAGCTCCTTAAGTTCCCCAGTTTCTCGTGTTTATTCAGGCTCCTGGCTTACACCTGAATCACATGTTTTGAGGGGAGGCATATGTTACCTGTGCCTAGCCTTACATGATGACTTTTTTCCCCCCCTAGAAAGAAAAACAATTAATGCAGTTTTATTTTTAAAGATTAAAAATAGAATGGCTGACCTTGGGCTGAGCTGGTTGGGTTGTGGGCATGGAGTCTGGAGAGCTCTTCCCTTAGAAAAATTAAAATTATTGGTCAATAAAACCACATTGAGATAATCATTTTGGGCTTGAGCTGTTAATAGCCATGTAGTTTCTTTCCTAGGGGGGCTTAGGTAAAATAAATAAATACCTATCATGGGCACAGCCACATTTTGTTTCTGAGTCCTGGAATGTTAAGGACCAGTTGCATTTTCTATGATGTTTAAGATATTATAAGTATTTTAGATTATATTCAGCATATTTGCTGCTGATTTGATTAAATAACGTTTGTTCTACTTACAGGTATATTTTAATCAAGGAATATGTTTTGGAGCAGATGCTGTTTTCTCAGAAGTTTTTAAAATTTAAACATGAACATAGGATTCCTAATGGTTGAATGTTGATGGTTATGAATTTTAGATCGTTTTTTTGGGAAAATATTTAGACTACTTGTCATAACTGCATGCCTTTTTAAACATGTTGCCATCTTTTGGGCATGTTTATTGCATCTTTGGCTTTGATGTACAGAAGAATGTATAGTGATGTCCCCCACTCCTTCCAACCCTGCACCAGCCTTCTCTCTTGGTGGTCTGATATAAAATCATACTTTAATGAAATGATATTTTTCATTAGCCTGTTTATAAGACATATTTTTAGAATGGGATAAATGTCTGTGAGACTGCAAATGAATATAATGTAAACTGTTATATGACTTTTAAATTATTATGAGTTCCCTTGTTGAGTTTTGTGCCATTTGATTAAATATGCATTCTAATTTTATTTGGAGATAAATCTTTAGTTTTTCAATCATAAGGAAACCAGGGGAAACAGTAACATTTCATATGAATTAATAAAAGCACAGTCTACATTATTTATGCTACTATTCTTTTGTTTAGTATATTTCAAAATCTGAATTGCCTTCAAAAATGAGACTAAAAGATTCCTGTGTTGAGATATTTTAAGTATGGCCATATTAGTTATTTTCATGATTTTTGTCTACAAATGACAAAGAAAATTATGATGATTATTAACTCTACAGTTTTAGACTTTCTCATGAGATTGTTTCTTTTGGGGACTACAGACTTATTAAACCACAGAAGTTATAATATACAATTTCCATTATTTGAGTATAAAATAAGTTAACATTTTTTTTTTGTTCCACCTAGGCACCATTTATATTTACACCATTTGCAGGAAACTGATGATCGTAGGTCAGTCCTCCAAGGTATGAAATGTCCTAACAAAGTATTTTTCCTTTACTTCCTATTTTTCTTAAGGCTTTCACTATACCATATATTGAATATAAAACAAAGAATTAATATAATTTAGTGAATACATATGTTATATGATTTATTGGTCTTTGTTTTACTTTAATATTAGTCATATAAAAATGTGGACAATAGAGTATTCATGAAAAGAAAGGTCATTCCTAAAATTGATAGGTATTCTCCAGTGTCTCCATGGCTGTTAGACAGTTTAACTTGTCATACTTGATACTGAACAAGGAGACCATCCCCTTGGGCTTCCTTGGGACAGTCCTATTTATGCTAGTCCTGAAGTAATTATTAATAGCACCCTGTTCAATCTCATAAGTGTCCTGGTTTAGATGATAAACTATGGCTACTCTATTTATATTATATGGTTCTTGGACTTTACTTATAGCCTACATGCTACTTGAGTGAACAAAAACCTAAAGGAGGGCAAGGAGACTTAATTTTATAATAAATTTCTCACTTACCAGTCCTCAGTGCTCAGTTTTAGCTTGAGGAAGTTGCTGACATTTCTGTTGATTTCCCTGAAATGTTGGTGCACTTTCGTCGGCAGGAGACATATATATTTTCTGCATTCATTTTCTAGTCATTTGGAATGTAGGCCAAGAAGGGTGAATATACTCCCATGGAGACCCTGCTGGAGCTGCTGTTGGCGTTTGAAACATTACTACTTTATTTTCCCTTATTGCTTGTGAAAGCTTATCCTGAATATTCTAAAACACAGGAGAGATACCTTTTTTCCCTTTAATTCTTCAAAACAGACAAGTATCTTAAAAGTCAATAACACTTAAAAAAAAAAAACAAAAATGGAAGCAAGATATTTGCATGCTCAATAGATAACACGAATGGTATGTTCTCTTTCCGTTTTGTTCCTTGAGTTGAGAAGAACTTAGACGTCACTTGAACAAACTCTGGGCCAGCATTTTGAGTGTGAATTAAACTGAGGGAATACTGTCCCTCAGTATAATATAAATTTGGCCTACAGATTATTTGAGCAATTCCACGTTTAGTTCCAGTTGAGTTCCTAAAAAGAATTTGTACACTTCTGTTGCATTTGCTGTAGCAACAAATACTGCTTCACAGAAGCCATCATAGTTTGGTCTGCTCTGGTGTTTGCTTGCCAAAACTTTGAAGGGGCAGAGATATCTGTGCCAACATTTGACTGTTAGTGTTTGTACTTATTAATGTTGAGAGAATTTTAACTTAATGTGAAAATCATCTTAAAATAATTTCTTATTTATAACCTATGTAAGACATTTCCTCTCTTTCTCATGTAACTTGATTGTGTCTGAAAAAATAAGTGGAGAAGGTCAGGCGTATGGTTCCAGTCTTGTAGGATGGGAGTGGGGAAAATGAGACATGCAAGAATTTTGGGGTGGGGAGTGGCTGTACAGTTGGTAGTTGAAGGTCAGGATGAAATTCTTTTAGTTTGTTCAATACAGCAGGTTTTAAGGAAATTAATACTTTTCACCCAGAAATTTCCAAATCCTCGTTGCTAAATTGATTCCTGGGATGAAACTATAAATGGGCTTTAATTTTTTTTTAAATTTTTTTTTGTTCTAATCAGTTATACATGACAGCAAAACCAAAGGCTGAATGTTTTCTCTGATAACTGGATACTAATCTATAAATGGGCTTTAATGGGCCCATTTAATGGAGTCAAACCCTGTGAGATTCCACTACATCAGAGACCTCCTGGTCTCAGGGACACTAACTCTGTAGTGACTTCAGAGTTCAAGTCTTTTATAGCCTAAAATAGATGAAAAACAGACCAGGCTATTCTTAGTGTCATTCCAAAGCAATTTAAACTTCCATTTATATATCTAGGCATTATGGTTACCCTCTGTTATTACCAAGTCCATACTCCATTCCAGGTACTGTGTGAAGGCTTTGCCTTCATAGTAATACCACAGTCTAAGATTCGGTGGGCACTGTCACCACTTCCACCACTACCACCATCATCATCATCTGTTGAATGAGTGCCTACCATCTGGTATGCTACTGAGCACTTGCATACATTATCTAATCCTCAGATGCCACTTTGAGAAAGGAGCTGTTATTACCTCCATCTTAATTTAATGGAAAGCTTAATTTGTTCAAGGTCACACATCTAGTTAGAGGGGTGCTGAGGCCAGAACCAATGTCATACTGTACTAGCATTCATCACCTTTCAAATAATGCATGTCTGTTTGCTAAATTGAATCCTGTCACAATCCTTTCCATTAGATTTACCTGCTTAAGTGGGGTAACTGTTTGGGAGGTTGATTTTCTTTTTTTTAAATATTACCCTCAATTCTCAAAGTGATCCTGAAGACTTGGACTAACCAGGGGCTTTTCCCCAGTTGAAACTCAATTTAGTGCTAGGCAGGGCACCAATGTAAGCTTAAAGAATATAGGGATTTTATTTTAATGAAACCCTTTACCATAAATACATACAACAGCTTTACTTTTGTTTATAGAACAATCTTGATTCTCTTCTGGCATTTAAAACAAACTGTATATGTACTTGGCAAACATTAAAGAATACATAGAATCATTTCATTCTAAAAAAAAAAACCTCTTTATTTCTGTTTCATTTTACTATAAAACTGAAATAGTTTGGTGAATTATTTGGCTTGAACAGTAGTTGTCAAGTTATTCCACACACCGTTGCACAAACTCTTTGAAATTGCTTCACTCTCATTTTCCTCAAATATAAATTGATATAAGTAAGGCTGCAGTGCCATCTTGTGGCTAACCTGATTGATATGTGTGTGTGTGTGTGTGTGTGTGTGTGTGTGTGTGTGTGTGT